ATAATAGTGCTAGAGTTTGAGTTGCAGTGAAACGCATGTACATACTGCAGACGTCTTGAGACCAAAGCAGCAGCTAGGAAAAGCTCGATTGCACCTAAATCCCCCAGCTACCTCGCTTTCCAAAAAGGTGTATTGTGTTTGTCTTATGAGTATATGTCAGGGTCTGTTCGAAGGGTTTCAACACAACAAAATGCGTAGGATTCGATTTGCAGTATACCGGGCTTTGAGGATCTAAGAGTTTGAGGGTTTAGGCACTGTGCTTCAAGGGTTTAGGGTTGGCGTGAGAGGTCTTCCGTGGGTGACGGGGGGAAGTGCATCCCGACCCGACGCGATAGAAGTGACTTCTGCACCATGGCATTCGCCTCCCTAAGCCCAAACCCTCGCTCTGGAGGATCAGAGTCTTTTGCGAGAATGTTGACTAGCTTGAATGCCATTAGAACACACACACCTCAACGTGAAACCCTAAACCCTACAAGCCCAAGCCACGACGCCCGTACTCTTGTCGAGTTTCCACAGCTTGTCTGAAGAGCATGCTATCTGCGAGCCTGCGATGGATGCTTTGGGTGCCTTGGACTCGCTTTCCGAAGATGCACCTCGTCACAGAAGGTGTTTGGATGCTTAGGGTGTAGTTTAAGGCATAGGGTCTCGGGCTGCAGGGTTTACAGGGTTTAGGGTTTAGGGTTTGGGGTTCAGAGTTCAGGGCTTAGGGTTTAGGGTGTAGGCTTAGGCTCCGCAGTAGAGGGTCGTTGAGTATAGGTCATAGAGCAAAAGGTTTAGGATGTGCGCGATTCGAGGGTTCCCTTATTTTCCGAGCCCTCACATCAGACGTTCACAACTCTTTTGCTCTGCTACTTGTGTCTATCTAAGTCTCGTCCTTCTGACTATTCTTGCCCTAAACCCTAAACCCTTCTGCTGGTTGTGTCTGGCATCTTGTTTTTGCTCGCCTACGAGGAAGCCCCTGCAAGCAGTGCATCTCTGAGCATCATGTGGGTAGTTCTCTAGACAAGGGCCACCAGCGTCCCATTTTGGGCCCTTTGTATAAGGGTGCTGTACTATCTTGGGGACCTAGATACAATGGGGCCTTAATTTAGAGACACTAAACCCTAAACCCTACCCGCATGACGCGGGCAATCGACAGTGCATGATCCAAGGAAAGCCACGAGGAGATGGCCGAGACATTTCTGGAGAAACCTCTGGATTTCCAGGCACGGAGGAGGTTTAGGGTTTAGGGTTTAGGGTTTAGGGTTTAGGGTTTAGGGTAGGGTGTAATAAAGAAGCCTAAATAGTTACCGATACGATTTTGGGGGCTCCTTATTCTACTTTATGATGTACTTGTAGTACCATATACCCCCAAACCCTATTCTAATTAGTAAGACCCCTACATTAGGGTTTAGGATTTAAAGGGTTTAGGGCCAGGGAGATGGTGATGGTGCAGGGCTCAGCAGCGCATAGCGGCTGCGGGGTGCGGGGGTTCGGGCTAGGGGTCATAGGCCAGCCGGACACCTAGGGTTTAGGGTTTTTTTCCAGGGATTTGCGCATTTGGACAGCCGCCGATGTGCCGATTCCATGCCGCAGGCATTGCAGCCCCACCTGCGGAAGGAGAGTGAAGAGGAGGCAGAAGGACTGGACCGCGACTTGGACGTGTTGGAGCGGCTAGAGAAAGTCTCAATCTCTCAAAGCCCTGAACCCCAGGAGCCCTAAACCGAAACCCACATACTCCGAGATCATTGCAAGGTATCTACATTAAGTTCAAAGAGAAGTTGGCCACCACGGCGACCGAAGATGGCGAGGTGCGTTGAGGGTTTAGCGATTTCGGCGTTCCCCTGTAAGGGTTCCATAAACCCTAAACCCTAAACGGGCTGCTCACAGCTAGAATGGTTCTTAGCTTTGGCTGCGCCGTGCTTTCCACCATGTGCCTTCCGGCAGTCGAACGTCCTTCACCCTAAAGCTGAATCCCACAAACCGAAACCCGACAATTCAGCCCCTACTATAGGGGCCTTATTAATTACCTAAATTATCTTGGGGATTCCTTGTGGTTACAGTATAATATACCCCAGTCTATTTTTGAAGGCCCCTACTTTACACCCTGGTTCCCGTTCAATTTCAGAGAAGCTAACCTTCAAGTCTGAACCCTAACTCCTAGATCCTAAGCCGTAAACCCCAAGTATCGGATACTTGTGGCCCCAAGCTATCCTTGCCATCAGTTGACGAGTTCAGTCAAGTCCAGAAACAAACAAGCCTGAAAAGAACCCTCATAGAACCTCAAACCTGAACCTTTCACCCTGAACCCTAAAGCCTAAACCCTACCCTAGACCCGGAACCCTTATCCCTAATCCTTAAAGCCCTACACTCTACATCCTCATCCCAAAAACCCCTTGTATCTGACTTCAGTCAGGTACCTAAACCCTAAACCCTAATCCCTAAACCCTAAACCCCAAAACCCTAAAACCCTAAACCCTAAACCCTGAACCCTAAACCCAGGTCACCTCCACCGATCCGCCCCAGTCGAGGGATCAGCAGAACGCTGAGCTCCCGGTATTGCAGACTACAAGGCGGCGTACTGTAAGGGTCTTAGGGTTTAGGGTTTAGGGTTTAGGATTCAGGGTTTAGGGTTTAGGGTTTAGGGCTTTGGGTTCAGGGTTTAGGGTGTAGCGTTGAGGGGTTACGGGGCTTAGGGTTTGGGTACACTCTTCAGGGTTTTGGGTTTTGGGTCCACTTGGCCTTGGACTCGGGTTTACTGAGGCGGCCTACTTGGCGGTTTATCGAGTTTCAGGTTGAGGGTTTTGGCGGGGCTTAGTATTGAAGGTTTCGGGCGAATAGTGGAATTGCTTGAACGGTTTTTGTTTTTTTAGGGGTTTTGAATTTGAGGTTTTGGGGTTAAGGGTGTTGGGCTTAGGGGCCTGAATAGTTAGAATATAGGTACCTTGCAAAGGTTCCTGGCAAGGGTTCCGCAAAGGGCTATCACGATCAGGGGTCAGGATTGAGGAAGACACTAACATGTCAGTGTCTTCAGCCCTGCAATTGCTAAGACTGTTGTTCAGCTAGGTAGTTTCATCATCGCCACTGTTGCCACCATAAGCAGCATCGTCATCTTGACCGTCGTCGCCTGCAAGGCTGTCAGTTCTATGATGGTCACATCGCTGATTTCCTGGAGCGACCTGTAGTAGCAGCGGAGGCAGTAGCAGTAGTCGTAGTAGCAGCAGCAGCACAAGTCGTCGCACTAGTAGCATATAGTAGTAGCAGTACTAGTAGCAGTACTAATATCAGAAGCACCAGCAGCAGTGGTAGTCGCAGCAGTGGAAGTAGAAGTAGAAGTAGCAGTAGATGTGTGTGTCAGGAGACCGACGCCGGCTTCTCTGGTGGACGGCGCCTATGAGAAGTCCCAGCCGCAGAAGATTCTTGACTATGACGTCGAGCAGTCAGAAGGTGACCTGAGGCTCCAGAGCCTTCTGCAAGGCGATTTCTGCCGGAAATGTGGGATGAAGATGTGCCGATGTGTGGACTACTCCGACCATGCAAGGAAAAGGCCCTTCTCTTGGCCGATGCACAGCCAAAGCAAGGCCTCAAAGAAGCGCAGGGCCAAGGGCCCGGGTCCGGGCCCCGCGCGTCCTTAAAGGCGCCTTGTGCTGCAAAGGAGTCGGCGGGATTCGCTTCTTCTACTTGAAGGATCATGGGACTTAGTAACCGGGGTTATATATAATTACGTCCAGCACAAGTTAACATACTTATAAGTTATGAGCTTACTGCTATGTCCCCTGACCCTCGAGTAACGAGGAGAGCTTCGCATCGACGAGGCATGCCATAGTGAGCCACCATGGCCATGCTTGGCCTTCATGGGCGATGAAGAGAAGCTATCTGCAGGCAGCCCTTCAAAGCAGCTGGCGTGGCGATCTTCACCGAAAGCCTATGGCGTGAGAACGGACAGACGGTTTCAGAGCAGCCGAAAACAGCCGTGCATCTACTGCTCAGTACATGTCACCGTAAACCCTAAAGCCTAAACCGTCGCTGCTCATGTCTCGGCAACGGTCCGAAAGGATGCTCGTGAGCCACGTTTCATGCAGAGTCCACCCGGGGATAGCATGATATGGGGGCCTAACTAAATACCAGTACTGTTTTTTTGGGGGGGTTCCTTGCTGTAAGTATATGTAAGTCTTGTAAGTATAGTATAATGGGTCCCCAAACCCTATTCTAAATTTAACTACATTATACCCCAACCCTAAACCCTAAACCCTAAATCCTAAACCCCTAATACCCTAATACCCTCATGCCACAAACCACTAGGGTTTAGGGTTTCTTGCATCTTGGCATGGCGCCAAGGACGACCTGCTCGTGAGCTTCTACAGCTGCTCGGATCACTGGTCTGGGCAACTACCCAGAGAACCCAATACCCCTTAATCAAGGAATATACCTTAAATCATAATAGTAAGGCCTCTATAATTTAAGCTCGGATCACTGGTCTGGGCAACTACCCAGAGAACCCAATACCCATTAATTAAGGAATATACCTTAAATCATAATAGTAAGGCCTCTATAATTTAAGGTATATTCCTTAATTAAGGGGTATTGGGTTCTCTGGGTAAGTGGAGGCTCTTTCAGGGGGTTTAGGGCTTAGGGCTTCAGGGTTTCGTAGTATACCCCTATATAAACGTGCTTCACATTTAGGGTTTCGTAGTATATCCCATTCCTAAACCCTAAACCCTAAATCCTAGGGCTTCCTAACCCGACTTACGATGTACAAGAGCGAGGTGTCCGCCGATGTTTCTACCAAGGACTGGAGCGGGTGCTGCCTTCGCAGCCCGAAGTATCCGAGAGGAGGAGAACCCCAAATCCCAAAATTCTTAAACCTCTTAGGGTTTAGGGTTTGGGGTTTAGGGTCTAGGGGTGTAGGGGTTTAGGGGTTCAACGGTTTCGGGGTTGAGGGGTTTAGGGGTTTAGGGTTTAGGGCGGTTTAGGCTCTAGGGTTGAGGGCTTTAGGGTTTGGGGTTTAGGGGTTTAGCGGTTTAGGGGTTTACGGTGTAGGGTCTAGGGTTGAGGGTTGAGGGTTTGGGGTGCAGGGGTTTAGGGGTTGAGGGTTTAGGGTCTAGGGTCGAGGGTTTGGGGTTTGGGGTTTAGGGTTTAGGGTCTAGGGGTGTAGGGGTTGAGGGGTTTAACGGTTTCGGGGTTTAGGGGTTTAGGGATTTAGGGGTTTAGGGTTTAGGGTCTAGGGTTGAGGGGTTTAGGGTTTGGGGTTTAGGGGTTTAGCGGTTTAGAGGTTTAGGGTGTAGGGTCTAGGGTTGAGGGTTGAGGGTTTGGGGTGCAGGGGTTTAGGGGTTGAGGGTTTAGGGTATCTTAGCTCGAATCTGCCGTGCCCATATGGGTACTTCTCTAAATTAGGGTTCCT